AACTGGACTTTCATGGTGAACTGGACTTTCATGATGAACTGGACTTCTATGGTCAACTGGACTTCCTTGGTGAACTGGACTTTCATGATGAACTGGACTTCCATGGTGAACTGGACTTTCATGATAAACTGCACTTCCATGGTGAACTGGACTTCCTTGGTGAACTGGACTTTCATGATGAACTGGACTTCCATGGTGAACTGCACTTCCATGGTGAACTGGACTTCCATGGTGAACTGGACTTCCTTGGTAAACTGGACTTCCATGGTGAACTGGACTTCCATGGTAAACTGGACTTCCATGGTGAACTGGACTTCCTTGGTAAACTGGACTTCCATGGTGAACTGGACTTCCATGGTGAACTGGACTTCCTTGGTGAACTGGACTTCCATGGTGAACTGGACTTCCATGGTGAACTGGACTTCCATGGTGAACTGGACTTCCTTGGTGAACTGGACTTCCATGGTGAACTGGACTTCCATGGTGAACTGGACTTCCTTGGTAAACTGGACTTTCATGGTGAACTGGACTTCCTTGGTGAACTGGACTTCATGGTGAACTGGACTTCCATGGTGAACTGGACTTCCATGGGTAACTGGACTTCCTTGGTAAACTGGAATTCCATGGTGAACTGGACTTCCTTGGTGAACTGGACTTCCATGGTGAACTGGACTTCCATGGTGAACTGGACTTCCTTGGTGAACTGGACTTCCATGGTGAACTGGACTTCCTTGGTGAACTGGACTTCCATGGTGAACTGGACTTCCATGGTGAACTGGACTTCCATGGTGAACTGGACTTCCTTGGTGAACTGGACTTCCATGGTGAACTGGACTTCCACGGTGAACTGGACTTCCTTGGTAAACTGGACTTTCATGGTGAACTGGACTTCCTTGGTGAACTGGACTTCCATGGTGAACTGGACTTCCATGGTGAACTGGACTTCCATGGGTAACTGGACTTCCTTGGTAAACTGGAATTCCATGGTGAACTGGACTTCCTTGGTGAACTGGACTTCCTTGGTGAACTGGACTTCCATGGTGAACTGGACTTCCATGGTGAACTGGACTTCCTTGGTGAACTGGACTTCCATGGTGAACTGGACTTCCATGGTGAACTGGACTTCCTTGGTGAACTGGACTTTCATGGTGAACTGGACTTTCATGATGAACTGGACTTCTATGGTCAACTGGACTTTCATGGTGAACTGAACTTCCATGGTCAACTGGACTTTCATGGTGAACTGGACTTCCACGATGAACTGCACTTCCACGATGAACTGAACTTCCATGGTGAACTGGACTTCCACGATGAACTGAACTTCCATGGTGAACTGGACTTCCTTGGTGAACTGGACTTTCATGATGAACTGGACTTCCATGGTGAACTGGACTTTCATGATAAACTGCACTTCCATGGTGAACTGGACTTCCTTGGTGAACTGGACTTTCATGATGAACTGGACTTCCTTGGTGAACTGGACTTCCTTGGTGAACTGGACTTCCATGGTGAACTGGACTTCCTTGGTGAACTGGACTTTCATGATAAACTGCACTTCCATGGTGAACTGGACTTCCTTGGTGAACTGGACTTTCATGATGAACTGGACTTCCTTGGTGAACTGGACTTCCTTGGTGAACTGGACTTCCATGGTGAACTGGACTTCCATGGTGAACTGGACTTCCTTGGTGAACTGGACTTTCATGATGAACTGGACTTCCATGGTGAACTGGACTTTCATGATAAACTGCACTTCCATGGTGAACTGGACTTCCTTGGTGAACTGGACTTTCATGATGAACTGGACTTCCTTGGTGAACTGGACTTCCTTGGTGAACTGGACTTCCTTGGTGAACTGGACTTTCATGATAAACTGCACTTCCATGGTGAACTGGACTTCCATGGTGAACTGGACTTCCATGGTGAACTAGAAAACTTCCACACGTTCCTCTCTCGGCCCCTTCTCATTCTGTTTCCAGCCGGCTTCCCTTCAACCCCCGACCTCACCTGCTGCGCCCCAGTTACCGCCTTCTTCTTCTTCGCTGCGAGCCCTTCCGTATTCCAATCACCTCGCCTCGGCGTGCCCTTTGGGGGCGTCCATAAATGACGTCACGCGATTTTGGACGATTTTTGACCCCCCCCCCCCCCCCCCCATCGTCAAACGGCGTCACAAAAAGTCAGACCCCCCCTCAAATATGACGTCACAAAGCTCTGCCCCCCCCAAATGAAACATGCTTCAAATCGCTTTAAACTATTGTCATTGTAGTGCGTATTTAATGTGGCGCTGCACTCTGATGTTGTAGGAGAAAACATTTATTAAAAACTCGATTTAATTAAGTAGAACGTGTTGTCTATATTTATTTAAAGTTGCGCATTTTGATGTGACGTCACATTTCTCAACCCCCCCCCCCCTCGTCACACATCGTCACAAATGTCTGCCCCCCCCCCCCCCCAGGTGTGTGACGCCATTTATTGGTGAAGTATGGAGGTGGATGGAGCAGGTTCTTGAACCCACGATTAACGTAGACGCTTTGCCATATGTATGTTGAGCTGATTTCGAACCGTACACAGCCAACTGTGATGATCAAAGGTGACAAAGATGGCATTGTCTCGCGATAGCTTTCCTCATTAAACGAACCAATGGCACTCAGTATATTTACATAAAAAATAACACCTCAACACACTGTGACGTTAAAATAAAAGAATATAGGCGGCGTCTCGGGCAATGATAGGCACGATCCAGTCAGGCGAACTTGTAGGAAAAAACCTGAGAGTATGAATCCTTGCAGTCACGAAAACTTCAAATCTAGAATTGTGTTACCCCCTTGCCTGGCCCAACGTGCTTATATGAGAAATACACGTACGAAGAATGAACATCACTAATTTTAAACAAGTTTGTGAGGTATATTCTATCTCGTAACTGCAAGCGAATAAACAAACACAAATTCAACGCTCTGCGTGCGTGACGCAATTTGTTCTCTTGGGGTCACCACTTTGCTTGAGGTCAATGAGTTTAGAGAAGTCTCTTACATGGTTATAGGTTACCATACCGAGTAAACGATTTTGTTCGTTGGTTATTTTTTTATTGATAGATTCATACGTGATTATTCGCTCACTAGTTCAGAAAGCCTGTCTTCGCCAGGCAAACGTTTTCAATAAATATAATAATGAACCTGATATGATTTTTTTTTTATAATTTGTATCTATGATCAGACGCTAACTACTACAAAAATGTGTATTGTTCCGCAAAAAACACACATAAATAGTTGACGACTTGGTTCAACTTCTTACATTTCAAGACGTACCCATCGGAAACCGCTCAATTTCAAGATTCCGTTCTTTTTTTATGACAAATAACAAAATTAATTAACGAAATACCCCCCCCCCAACCAGAGGTGGTAGAGTACCAGCCCTGCAATCTGGAGGTAAACCCTCAGGTCACTGGCAAGGCTGCGTGAGCCGCATTTACGAAACGCATTTTTCGTTGGAGCGCGCAACTCGCGACCCGTAGCCGTCACTTCCGGTCCCCGCTAGGCGCGATGGCGGCTCCGCTTAGCGGCTCCGCGCTTCGCTAACGTCGACAACCTCGCGAGGCAAACAGCGTAGAGAGACACACTCTGTAGAGAGACACACTCTGTAGAGAGACACACTCTGTAGAGAGACAGCAGAGAGAGAGAGCAGAGAGAGAGACAGTGTAGAGAGACACACTCTGTAGAGAGACACACTCTGTAGAGAGACACACTCTGTAGAGAGACACACTCTGTAGAGAGACACACTCTGTAGAGAGACACACTCTGTAGAGAGACACACTCTGTAGAGAGACACACTCTGTAGAGAGACACACTCTGTAGAGAGACAGCAGAGAGAGAGAGACAGCGGAGAGAGAGAGACACACTCTGTAGAGAGACACACTCTGTAGAGAGACACACTCTGTAGAGAGACACACTCTGTAGAGAGACACACTCTGTAGAGAGACACACTCTGTAGAGAGACAGCAGAGAGAGAGAGCAGAGAGAGAGACACACTCTGTAGAGAGACACACTCTGTAGAGAGACACACTCTGTAGAGAGACACACTCTGTAGAGAGACACACTCTGTAGAGAGACAAACTCTGTAGAGAGACAGCAGAGAGAGAGAGCAGAGAGAGAGACAGCGGAGAGAGACACTCTGTAGAGAGACACACTCTGTAGAGAGACACACTCTGTAGAGAGACACACTCTGTAGAGAGACACACTCTGTAGAGAGACACACTCTGTAGAGAGACACACTCTGTAGAGAGACACACTCTGTAGAGAGACAGCAGAGAGAGAGAGCAGAGAGAGAGACACACTCTGTAGAGAGACACACTCTGTAGAGAGACACACTCTGTAGAGAGACACACTCTGTAGAGAGACACACTCTGTAGAGAGACACACTCTGTAGAGAGACAAACTCTGTAGAGAGACACACTCTGTAGAGAGACACACTCTGTAGAGAGACAAACTCTGTAGAGAGACACACTCTGTAGAGAGACACACTCTGTAGAGAGACACACTCTGTAGAGAGACACACTCTGTAGAGAGACACACTCTGTAGAGAGACAAACTCTGTAGAGAGACAGCAGAGAGAGAGAGCAGAGAGAGAGACAGCGGAGAGAGACACTCTGTAGAGAGACACACTCTGTAGAGAGACACACTCTGTAGAGAGACACACTCTGTAGAGAGACAAACTCTGTAGAGAGACACACTCTGTAGAGAGACACACTCTGTAGAGAGACACACTCTGTAGAGAGACAAACTCTGTAGAGAGACACACTCTGTAGAGAGACACACTCTGTAGAGAGACAAACTCTGTAGAGAGACAAACTCTGTAGAGAGACACACTCTGTAGAGAGACACACTCTGTAGAGAGACACACTCTGTAGAGAGACACACTCTGTAGAGAGACAAACTCTGTAGAGAGACAAACTCTGTAGAGAGACAGCAGAGAGAGAGAGAGAGCAGAGAGAGACAGCGGAGAGAGACAAACTCTGTAGAGAGACAAACTCTGTAGAGAGACAGCAGAGAGAGAGAGAGCAGAGAGAGAGACAGCGGAGAGAGACAAACTCTGTAGAGAGACAAACTCTGTAGAGAGACAAACTCTGTAGAGAGACAAACTCTGTAGAGAGAGACGGCAGAGAGAGAGACAGCGGAGAGAGACAAACTCTGTAGAGAGAGACAGCAGAGAGAGGGACAGCGGAGAGAGACAGCAGAGAGAGAGACAGCGGAGAGAGACAAACTCTGTAGAGAGAGACAGCAGAGAGAGAGAGACAGCGGAGAGAGACAAACTCTAGCGAGAGACAAACACAGCGACGCAAATACTGGAGAGATACAGCGACACACACGAGACACAAACACTAGAAAGAGACATCAATAACCGCAGCGACACACACACGGGAGGGAGACAGCGACACACGAGAGAGACACACGGGAGAGAGACAGCGACACACGAGAGAGACACACGGGAGAGAGACAGCGACACACGAGAGAGACACACGGGAGAGAGACAGCGACACACGGGAGAGAGACACACGGGAGAGAGACAGCGACGGCGATAAACACAGCGACAAAGTAGACACGGCGTCCGACTCCAGCCGCCCGCCCTACTTACTCCTCCAGCCGCATGCATTCTCATAACCGCGACGTTACGATTCGCGCTCTCGCAAGCCGCCACCGCACGTAGACGACAACAACAACAGCAGCAAGCAGTTCACTGGCGGTGGCAATCGGCTCTGGCGGGAGTGGACGTGGCCACCACCGCCACAGTCCGTGGGAGAAGCCAAACTCCGACTGAGCCCGGTGCGCGTCGCTGTTTGCACGGTGACGAGGGAGGAGGAGGAGGCGGCGGCTGGCGCGGTGGTGGTGGTGGGGTGGGGGTGGGAGGAGAGTAGCGGACAGCAGCAGCACACACACACAGAGAGAGAAGCAGAACGCGACAGCAGCAGCGGAGGCGGCGGTGTGTCTCGGCCGAGAGAGGCAGACGAGACGAGAGAGAGTCACCAAGCGGCCACGTCAGAGTGACGGCGGAGAGAAGCAGGCGCCGTTGACGGTGGGAGCGAGGCGGACAGAGCGAGAGAGCGAGAGGCTGCAGACGACGGTAGCAAGGGCGCAACCAAGTAAAACGACGTCAGCAGCAGCAGCAGCAGCATCGCATTCAGCTGCAGCGACGGTGGCAGACGAACCGGCAGCAGTAACAGCAGCAGCAGCAGTAACAGCAGCAGCAGTAACGGCACCAGCGGCAGAGATGGCAGCGAACAACAGCGCCGCGGTGAGCGTGCCCATCAGCATCGGCGCCAGCAAAACCAAGACGAAGAAGAAGCACTTCGTGGCCCAGAAGGTGAAGCTGTTCAGGGCCAGCGAGCCGCTCTTCAGCGTCCTCATGTGGGGCATCGACCACTCGGTGAGTGCCGGGGGTGGTGGGGGGGGACAGCACGGGTCATGGGGCCAGGGCGCAAGACGGTCGTCGTTCTTTATGCGTCGGTTCTTTTTCCCCCATGGATTTTGTCTTGGGGTGACTGCTCGCCCATGGGATCCCTCTCCCCCCCCGTATCCCCTTTCTCCCCCCCCCCGTATCCCCTTTCTCTCCCCCCCCTCGGGTCCCCTTTCTCCCCCCCCCCGTATCCCCTTTCTCCGCAGTGGTCCCCTCTCATTGGGGGCCCCTAATCACCCCTGGGTACACAATCTCCTCCGGGCTCATACCCCCCCCCCCCCCCCCCAGGGCGCCTCTCTCATCTAAGACTCCTCGGTCCCCTCTCGCTATGCTGTATATTGAACCTCTTTCGCACCGTACGTAGCCAACCGTGCTTATCGGAGGTGCGGGTATGGGAAGGACGATAAACTAAACACTAAACTCAATTCCCGAGGACCCCACTCCTATGGGGTGGGTACATTCTCTCCACCCCCCCGCCCGCGTTCGTGGTCATTATGCTCCTTGCGTGTGTTAAGCTGGCACGTGTAAACTCAAACGTTACCTTTCCTTTTCATGACGAGTCTTGTTGATGGACCCCACTAATCCGTGTGGTCTCTTCATATGGACCCTCCCTTTTGTGACTTCCTCTCCCTTCCCGGCCTCAATCGTTCGTCCTTCTCTCTGTCCCTGCCCAGTCCATCTGGCCCTTGCCTCCACTCCCATCGCCCCGGCCCATGTGGCTCATCTGTTTCGGATGTCCTCTTGCTGTGTTGATGCTGTCCATGGATCGCCCTTAGCTGCGTACCAGTTCTCGCCCAACTGCGGTGACGTTTTTATTATTATGTTGTACTTTTGGCGTGTTGAAGAAACTTGAAGGAGAATGGGGTTCGCAATCCCTCTGTACTTTCATCGGTAGAATATGGCAGTGGAAATGTAGCAATTAAAATCTGTACGGGTAAAACCTATTAATTAATTGCCTGAATTTGCGACGAGTATTGCCATTTTATACTGAGTTGTACTTTCAGTATACAGCCGGACGTCGCATATCCAAACGTCACATGTCCACCCTGACCAATGAACCATCCGTGCCCTGTGCAAGTATTTGTGACTTATTTTTTTCCAGATCTTCACGTATCCGATTTTTCCCCTTCACCTATAACTCAGATACCTAATACACTGCACTCTGTTATACGTAAACACAAATATGCCGTAAGACCCGACGCGTTTACTTTTAAAGTCTATGTGAGGTTTAGAATAAGCAGAAACAAAAACAATACTGTTGGCAGGGTATAAAGCCAGATGTAATCAAAAACACATGCAATGGACAACATGGTCCTTGGCTTTTGGCCATTTCACATTTTGAAGGAGCGACTTCCCATCGTGCACAGATTGACGAGGAGGTTACAAAGAAGGAACCCCGAGAGGAAGTGTGAGAACAAGATTGATAGCTAATGATGAGCCTTGAAATCTTGCAGCAAAATGCACAGGTGAGCGGGAAGCGCTGTTGGTGTAACATGCTGCCTCTTGTTACTGATTATACCAAGGAGTCTTATCAGAAACATTCGCAGGCGGTTATTTATGTCTCTAGGAGGCAGCTGCATAGTCTGGTATTCGGTGTACATGTCTGTACATGATTTTTTGAGAAGCAAACCTCATCTCAACACGGTAATTTCTCGGGGGCATTGTTAAGCAGCGCTGCTGCCTGCAGAGTGGTGACCTTTACGGACCATGACGTAATTTGCCCGAGCAGGTCACAGCTTTGACAGTATTACAGCCACAATTTACCAAGGTCGAAGCAAACCTATAGTTACTGAACTATGAAATGTAATCAATACCTCTTGCATGCTTGAGGCTGCTTTTAGGGTATAAGCATTCTCAAAAGTTTGAGTCGGGATTGTGCTGTCACGGTCACACTGCCACAAGTGAATATAGCTATGGGACCTTTTTGCCGGAATCCAAAATGATGAAAAATAAGAATATTTTTACACTTTCTGGCAATAAAACAGGAGGTGTTTAGATGTTCAAACGCCAAATAGATACCTTTTGCAAGGCATCGAGTATGCATTCACCACACATACGTGTGACAAAACATGCAAACTAACATGTTCTGATCATACTGTATATAAGAGCATGATAATATGAACATCACGAACATCTTAACACCTGTTTTAGTGCCAGAAAAGGGTAAAAGCCTATTCTTATTTTTCATCACAAGTGAATATATTTACCGCGTGGTCGGTACGTGGCCTTGTCTTGCTTTCTGATGGGGATGAGAACAACAGCAAACATGACAGAAGGCCTTCGTCCCCTCGTATTCAAACGAAATCCTGTTCAGCCGGCAGGACCAACTGAACGCCACACCTTCACTTAAACATCGCTTTACGATTGAGTGCTGGACCTAAACGCCTTTCATACCTTTTTAGGTTCGTTCACACATGGCGTAAACTTCACCACACATTTGTTTATAGAACACATTTGATTCGTCCGTAAAATTGGACAGCAGAGGCTAAAAAAGACACCCAAATACAGTATAACATTTTTTTCCCATTTCACCCCTTAAATTGCTCGAACCCTTGTGCAAGGCTCACGCATTTAAAACAGTTGCAAGTCCTTTTGATCCTTTAATTTCTTGAGAGCTTCTCTAATGTTATTGAACTTGGACCCAGGAATGCATCACTAAGTGGATTATACATTGACCGGACGACAACAGTTCTACCCACAATGCAATGTGCCAGCAAGATGTTATAATTTTACTTTTAATACAGATTCGATTATTTAGTAATACTTGCTTTGCTTTTTAAGGTCCTTGCTCAAAAGCTGCTCATAGGTGCTATTTATATTCCAATTTAAAAAACGTTTCTCAGGAAACATTTTAAAGATGTCATTCTTGTAAGGACACATGGTATATAGTGCAGTCATCAACTCTTGTCCACTGTCTTTCTAGCCTCTCCATTAATGTGGCAGTGTTATTGACGAATATGTTGCGTTTATATCTCGGGTTTATTAACCATAACCATAAGCACCGTCTGCTTCACAATGGACTTTAAAAATCACGTCATGTTACTCGCAAGAGTAGGCCATTGTACTATGGACGTCATGGTCCAAATTTTCCAAATAAAAAATAACCTGCAAATTACTTAATTGGGATTATACATAGCAGTAACTGTCCGCTACTGCGATAACTTATCAGGAACCTCCTGAAAAAGAGTCATGATACTGAGGCTTTCCTGGGTGAACAAGCATAATGTATGTTTGAATGTTGAACTTCTTTCACACCGTACGTAGCCAACCGCATGAATCGGAGGGGCCCACATTCTCAAACGAGTGCGGTCAGTGCCCACTTTGATTAATTATCTGGAGCCAGTGGTGCATATTCCAGATTTTCCACAGTACCGTAACAACCACTTGTCTTTTGCAATGCGGCCACAACCCTAAATGGGTGACGCACTTCATAGATCCACGATCAGGATTTGAAGTTGCAACGTTTCGTGAGTTGGGTTGTGTGCAACAGGACCTACTGGATAGATTACACGGAATTTAAGATTTTATACGTAGTTATACTGTTGATAACATCAATTCACGTTCAGTAATTTTTCTCCAATTTGCAGTGTGGCCAAGGGTGAACCATCACAACTCAACAAAGAGGCATCATATCTGAGCATACATATATTGTACAAATTAGTGACCGTTTTATAATTTTATTTCTAATTGTGTTGTATCGTATTCTATCGTGGAGTTTTCTTATTGGATTAGAACCATGTTGAGGATCTCAACGGGCTTTATCTTTTTTTAAAGGGACACGGATAATAACGAATAACTCACCAGAACATCCGTCCAGTGTTTTTCGTTTTTATTTATACCAGATGTCTTGTTGTCAGCATCCAGACACGGAATGCTTGATAGTTTCCAAGTTGTATATCGTGCTATTAAACAACCTCAAAGTAAAAGAAATGTTTGACTGATGCCCTTCAAGCATTCATCTTTGCACGTCCATAACGCCGCACACTAATTAGACATGCAGAGGGTAAAGTGGTTTTCTCAGTACATATCGGCCAAATGCATTATGCAAGTTCAGCCCTTTGGAAATGTACATGGCTGTCCTAGTTTTTTAGCTGATGGTTTTTGTGCATGTTACTTGTGGCCAGGGTGAGTTCCACATAGTTGTTGACAAAAAGAGGAATACAAGATTTAAGAGCAAATTTGCCCATTTAAAAAGAATCGGGCTTGGGCAGGACACGTCGCTAGAAAGAAAGGGATGATGGCCAGTGGGCGATAACGACAGGGAGTGGCATCCAAACGCACCCGCAGAGATGGAGTGATGAAATCGACTCGTTGTGCGGCTGCTAGGTGGATCGTTAGATCGTGGACGGCTTGGGGGATGCCTTCATTAACGTGTGGATTTTTACTCGTGATATAGAGGTTCCTGATTTAAACAAAGGACCTGAGGGGTTGCCACAGTTCTCCATTTTCCGATATGAACATTTCTGGCTGGAGAGTAATTTTCCAAACTTGTTTGCCACAAATTGTTCAGTCGTAGGTAAGTTCTCCAATTTAGGGTGTATGCTGTGTGTCTGGCGTGCATTGGTGTGTCACTCTTGCAAAATCTTTTTAATTCTTAACATCCTCTTTACAGCATGTGGTGCACGTTGGTAATGCTCTGCATCGTTACCACATTGCTGGGGAATTGCACAAGGCCACGGATAAACTAGCTCGGGAGTCCAGCGTGCCGACCACCGGGTTATTTATTCGCGCACACGCCGGTCTGTAGTTAATTAGTGCCCCTTCTTAATATGCACTGTGCGATCCAGTGTCTATGGAGTGCACCTAGGAGGAACTTCTGCCACTCTGGATGGCTCGGAGGCGTCCGTCACCTTTGGCAGGGGAGAGCTTGCATTTTAAGATCACGGCAGTGGCGGCAGCTCACCATCTCTGTGCCTCTGAAATTGATGGTTCCTGCAGAAATATTTCTCTGCAATGTGCATTTCACCCTG